CTCCTTTCTCCTCATTCCACATGTCCTTATCCACTCCTGGGACGAGACTTATTGACTAAAAGCCACAATTTCTTTCCAAGAGGAAGATGTGAAATTATTATTTGTCTGCTGGTAACCTGTCGCCTTGGAGAAGAATATATGTTGCTTCCCGCAGAAGAAAGCAAAGAGCTTCAACCATTACTGACTTACTTCCAAAACAAAGTTCATGAGGTTTGGGCGGAGACTAACCCACCTAGACTGACTGCCCATCCTTGCTCAATTTACCAGTCAGGCACTGCTGGTCAGAGTGAGACAAGATCCCACATCAGCAGAGGCAAAGGAGGGGATGGTGGCTCACATTAAATGCCTGGGGGGGAAATGGAATTCTTGTTCCCTGCCATTCACCTTGGAATATACCTCTTCTACCTGTGTGTAAACCAGGCACCAATGACAATCAACCTGTGCAGGATTTGAGAGGAGTAAACAAGCAGGTGGAGACCATCCACCCTATCATACCTAACTCTCTTCTCGGCATGTTACCTCCAGAACAGCACATTTACACCGGGTTAGATTTAAAGGATGCTTTCTTCAGCCTGCCACTGGCCAAGGTAAGCCAGGTCATATTTGCCTTTAAGTGGACAGATCCAGAAGGGAGATTTTCTGGAGAACTGACTTGGACCAGCTTGCCACAAGATTTTAAAAACTCCCCACCTCATTTGAAGATGCCTTGAGCTAGGACTAGTTAAGTTTTAGGCAGTTACATCCTGAAGGAATTCTATTAAAATACGTCAATGAGGAAGTGGCGCTGTGGCTCAAGTGGTAGAGCGCTTGCCTTGAGCTGGAGAGCTGAGGGATAGCGCCCAAGCCCAGAGTTCAAGCCCCACGATCCACAAAATAAAACAAAACAAATGAAAATATGTCAATGACCTGCTGCTGGCAGCCCTGACACATGAGAAGTGTTAGCAGTCCACAGAGGACCCCCTCATCACCCTGTGCCAATTGGGGTATCGAGTTTCTGCCAAGAAGACCCAACTGTGCACCCAGAAAGCAACCTATTTAGGTTACCAACTGGAAAAAGGGAAGCGAATGCTCTCCTTAAACAGGATAGAGGCGATTTTGAGGATACCGACGCCTCAGACCACGAAGCAGGTCAGGGAATTTCTGGGAGCTGTGGGTTCCTGCAGACTGTGGATCTTGGGGTGTGCAGATACGCTAAACCACTCTTCCAGCACAGCAGGAGAGGTAGGGCCCTTGGAATGAGAACAGACCAAACAGGCAGCCTTCGAGACATTAAAACAGGTTTTGATTTCAGCTCCAGCCTTGGCCTTTGCTGGACCTTTAGAAGCCTTTTCAGCTCTTTGTGGCAGAATCCACAGGTATTGCCAATCCACAGGTTCTGATCCAGACCTTGGGGCCTTGGAAACGACCAGTAGCCTACCTGTCCAAGAGACTGGGCTTGGTGGCAACCACCTGGCCATTTTGTTTGAGAGCAATAGTGGTGACAGCTATCGTGGTAAAGAGGCTGATTAACTCTGAGACAAGACCTGCATGTAACTGTGCACACCGGGTGGCAGCCCTGTTAAGAGCTACTCCTGCAAGGTGGCTAACACATGCCCGAGTTATGCAGTACCAGGCCCAGCTATGGATCAGCCAAGAATCACCTTCATGAAGGTAAATGCTCTTAACCCAGCTACTCTTCTCCTGATGACGACCCCAGTGAACCCATCCACAACTGCACTGAAATCCTGCAGAACATTGGTGGACTTCAGGGAGACCTGACAAACATTCCTGTGGCCACTCCTGATGAAGTAGTTTTGTCAAGGATGGAGTTCAGTATGAAGGGGCAGCCGTGGTGTCAGCAGATAATGTAATCTGGGCACACGCCCTAAATCATGGGACCTCGGCTCGGAGGGCTGAACTAATCACTCAAGCCTTGCGGTGGGCAAAAGGAAAAACAGTTAATATTTACACAGACAGCTGGTATGCTTTTGCTACAGCCCATGTTCATGGGGCCCTATACAAGGAGACAGGACTCAAATTCTGGAGGAAAATAAAAAAAAAAATGTTGAGCTATTGCCTCTCCTGGACGCCATTTGGCTTCCCCAAAAAGTGACTTGTTTTTTATTGTAAGAGTCATTAAAAAGAAGAGACCCCTGAAGTTCAAGGAAACAACCGAGCTGACCAGGCAGCTCAGGAGTCTACTCTGTAACTAGAGGGGCCTCTAGAGCTACTAGTTATTACAGCCCTACCAGAGCTGCCAGAAATGCCTTGCTATTCAAAAGAAGATTTAGAGTTAGAGACACTCCCCTCTGGATGGAGAAAGCTGCAGGATGGATGGCTATTCATCCCTTAGGCTCTGGGGTGGACCTTGGTGACACTGACACATCAGAACATTCATTTAGAGTCAGTTATTGTGAAAACATCTCTACATTTTGGTGTAAATAAAACTCCCTTAGCCGGGTGCCAGTGGCTCACGCCTGTAATCCTAGCTACTCTGGAGGCTGAGATCAGAGGATCACGGTTCAAAGTCAGCCTGGGCAGGAAAGTCCGTGAGACACTTATCTCCAATAAACCACTAGAAAATCGGAAGTGGCACTGTGGCTCAAGTGGTAGAGCGCTCGCCTTGAGCTGAAGAGCTCAGGGTCAGTGCCTAGGCCCAGAGTTCAAGGCCCACGACTGACAAAAAAAAGAAAAAGAAAACTTGTCACCTTTAACTGTGCCTCTGTGGATGTTCCTGCTCTCAGGTCATTATACTACCTTTGTTCATCCCTTATTGTGCCTTTTTTGTTTGATGGGTAGAGAGATACGTAGTTACATAAAACATTTTGTACACAATACATATTTTTTTCTGACTTCTTGGTTTTAATTAGAAAATTTTCTCAAACCTCAAACTGTGTACTCACTGTACACCTATAAATACACCATTTTGCCTGATGACTTGGCCTGGACAGGTAGTAAGCCAGTGGCTCACGCCTATATTCATAGCTATTCAGGAGGCTGAGATCTGAGGATCTCAGTTCAAAGCCAGCCCGGGCAGAAAAAGAGTGAGGCTTATTTCCAATTAACCACCAGAAAACCAGAAGTGGCACTGTGGCTCAAGTGGTAGAGAGCTGAAGAGCTCAGAGATAGCACTGAAGCCCAGCGTTCAAGCCCCATGACCCACAAAAAAATAAAAAGCTAAGCTGTGCACGATTATTTTTAAAATTTATTTTTTAATGTAGTACTGAAGAGTAGAACTCAGAGTCTCATGCATGCTAGACAAGCACTCTACCACCAAGTCACATCCCCAGCCCAAAAGCTATCATTTTTAAGTGTTTTAAACACTTAAATGTTTTAAACATTTAATTCAGTACTGGAGACTAAACCTAGCCCTTTTATTTTGATTTTAAGAGAGTCTCTGCTGGGAATGTGGCTTAGTGGTAGAGTGCTTGTCTAGCATGCATGAAGCCCAGGGGTCAATTCCTTAGCACCATATAGACAGAAAAGGCCAGAAGTGGCAGTATGGCTTAAGTGGTAGCGTGCTAGCCCTGAATAAGAAGCAGCACAGGGACAGTGCTCTGGCCCTGAGTTCAAGCCCCAGGACTGGCTAAAATAATGAGTCTCTAAATTTGTTCAGGTTGGCTTGCGCTTCCCAATCTTTGTTCCTTTCTCCTGAAGACCTGGTACTACAGGCTTGTACCATCTTGCCTAACCTCTTCATTGACACAAAAAGTCTTCTCACAATGCTTTGAGATAATGCATATCTTATTTTTTCCAAACCAGTATCAAGCGTTCATATTCATTTATTGCCTGAGCTTCCAAAGTAGCTGAGTCAAGAAAAGCGGTGACACGTTAACCAGCAAAACGCCAGAAGTGGAGCTACGGTTCAAGTAAGTAGTCGAGTGCCATTCTTCAGCGGAAAAGGCTCAGGAATGGGGTAGAACCTGAGTTCAAGCCCCAGTACCGACACACAATAATAAAAACAAACACAACCATTCCTTGGAGCCTTCTGTTCTCTTGAGATTTCCCCGGTGTCTAGCAAGCTTCACTGGGCAACTACAACTCAGGCAAACCTCCGAAGGTTTGGAGCCTCTAGCCGGCCTAACCTCATCTCACCTTCTCTGCTGGACACTGGGCCCGACTCATAGATAGCAAATAAATACATTATTTTGTCTCCATTCGACACGGGCCTTTATGGGGGTGATACCGGTGTTCCACCTTGCCATTCTAGCACCTAACCTGGAAAACAGCAAGGGACCCTTTTCTGCAGCAAGTAATCCCGCAGACGCGAGTCTGGAACCTGTCTGGAGGATCGCGTCGCCTCAAAAGTTCCTGGAAAAACGGGGACCGCACCCGCCGCGCCCCTCAGTCCCGCTCACCCGCTCTGCGAGTGGGTTACGAGAGAAGCAGGGACAGGAACGGGGTGGGGCTACAGCCTTCTTCCTTTCCCGAGGATCGGGTTGAATGAAGCAAAGTGACGCGTCCCCTAGCCGTTGAGGCCGATCCGAAGCGGGGTGTGTGTGTGGGGGGGGGGGGGTGAGGTAATGGACGATGGGGAAGATGAGACTCCAGCGGGAAGAGGAAGCTGTCAGCACCCGGCCGAAGCGCCTCGCTCTCTCGGGCTCACCTTGGTCTCCACGGTGGGCCCTTCCTTGTAGCCCACCCGCTCCTTGAAGCGGGACAGGAACGCGGGCTCCGCCGGCCGCACGTAAGACACTTGATTCCGCTTGCTCATGGCCTCGGCGGCGACTCGAGTGGAAACGCCCGTTCCCGCGTCGCCGGCGCGCTCTCATGACGTCACTCACGACCACGCCCCCTTTCCCTACCACGCCCCCCGGAGGCGGGCAGGATGGGCGGGGCCTGCGGTGACGTCACACGCCCGCCCAGCGCGCCAGATTCAAATCGGCGGCCATCTTGCGAGCGCGAACGAAGAGCGTCGAATCTCTCTCTCTCCTCGCCCGCCCGCCCACCCCGCCCGCCCGCCCTCCCCTTGGGCCCGCGTCGCGCGTGGCGGCCGGGCGCTTCCTCTCAGGCGGGTGTGTGTCCTCATTTTCGTCTCCACTCCGGGACCCCCGTGGGTTGCTATGGCGTCGGTCTGCAGAAGTAAGTCACGAGCCGCGGGTTGGCGGGCCGGAGGCCCGCGGCGTTCATCCCCGAGGTGACCGACGCCGCCGGCCCCGGCCCGGCGTCCGCCCCGGCCCTGGGGGCGCGCGTCTCCCCGGACTCTTCCCCTGACAGGGACGCTGAGGGAAGGACGCAGCTCGTTCGATCCCTTTTCCTTCGCGGGGTGTCTCAAACCCGGTCCCGGGAGCGGTAGGGCTGGAGACCCGAGCCTCGCGTGTCTTCCCCCGGGCACCCCACCGCAATCCCGAGGGACCCCCCCCCCCCGCAATTCTTCGTCTTGAGGTGTTTCTCTATCCGGGTCTCGCCCCAGGAGCGTTGCATCTCTGCTCCGTTCATTCGATTGTGTGTTGACGGTGCCGATCCTGGGGTTTGAACTCCTCCGGGCCTGTGGGCAAACTGTCCCCGAAAGCTTTACTTGGCGTTCTGCTCCTTGAATCCAGGTTCAATTCTCTTTTCTTCTCCCTCCCTACACCCCCTTTCTTTTCCTGAGATGTTTAGGAGAGAGAGGAGTGTCACGGAACTCCTGGTCCTGCCCCAGGGCGGGCTGGCTGGCTGGCTGGCTGGCTGCGAATCGCGACCTTCGGATCTGTTTCCTGAGCAATGTAGCCTGACAGGTGTTGAGCCACCAGCCCCTGAGCTCTTACTTAGCCTTCTTTTATCGTTATTGCCTTCCTATCCGCCCGTGAAACCGCCACCTAATATGTGTTTCCACATTTCTTACCTTTTTTTTTTTTACGATGAGTTATGTTCTTAAAAGGAAGACTCCTCTTTCTCAGATGGTGAATTTACAGATTTCTCTCTCTCTTTCCCCCTCCCTCCCCCCATAAACACATACACACTTGCCCCTCCAGTCACAACCCTCCCCCTTATCCAAACCCTTACTTGAATATAGAATATACCTTAGTACACAATCTATAGATACTGCTTTTATTTTTTTAATCTATGATTAAGTTTATGCTAGAGATGCACAATAACTAATGTCAAAAGAAAATGGTGTGTGTGTGTGTGTGTGTGTGTGTGTGTGTGTGTGTGTGTGTGGTGTGCAGTTCCTGGGATTAAACTCAGGGCTCTGTCCCTTCGTTTTTTCCACTCACACTAGTCCTCTATCACTTGAGCCACAGCACCACTTTTGGCCTTTCTTTTTTCCTTCCTTCTTTCCCTTCTTTCCCTTCTTTCCCTTCCTTCCCTTCCCTTCCCTTCTTTCCCTTCCTTCTTTCCCTTTTCCTCTCCCTTCCTCCCTCCCTCCCTCCCTCCCTCCCTCTCTCCCTTCTTTTCCTCCTTCCTTCCTTCCTTCCCTTTTTTTGTGCTTAATTCTAGATAAGAGTCTCAAGGACTTTGCTTCTGAGGTTGGAGTGTTTTGTAATCATCATTTTGTCGGTGTATATTTGTCACACTATTATACTGTGTTGTACTTATCCTTTTGTGGTTGTCCCAGATGAGATGAATGATACAGGCCATCAGTGCCAACAAGGTTATCTGAACAGAAGGATACTTGATTCTGCTTGCTTGTGACAATCTGTTAGTTGTCATACTGTTAGTTGATTTGACAATTGACAAGGCTGGCTCTTTAGTGACTATTGGAAAGGTTGTGTGTACCACACGAATTTGTCCCCAGGTTTTGGGGAGCACAATGGCATCTTGCTACTCAGCATTTAAAACTGAATAAGTTGTTAAACAATTTTTCCATTTAAAAGTTTAGTACTTTTGGATTCCTGCTGATAGGTGATAACATGGAAAGAGAGATCGCAGACAAGGGAGAGGACCACAATATTTTCACAATCGGTTCCAAACTCAAGGACATCTGTCCTGAAATCTCTCCCCCACACTCTTTTTTTCTTTCCTCCATTTGTGCTTGTTCTAAGCCTCTCCATTTTCACTAGATTCTTAGTCATTTGCTGGTTTTGTGTATATCTAGCACCTCTTACATTGCATCTATTTTATGAACTTATTGGATGGGATGTCTATTAATGGAATGAGGGCAGGCCTGTGGTTGAAGAAACTGAACTCTGTGTGTGTGCCTGTACTTGCCAGTTCTTTTTTTTTGGGGGGGGGGTCCGGTCTTGGGGCCTGAACTCTGGGTCTGGGCACTGTCCCTCAGCTCTTCAGCTCAAGGCTAGCACTCTACCACTTGAGCCACAGCGCCACTTCCGGCTTTTTTCTTTTTGCTCATGTGGTGCTGAGGAATCGAACCCAGAGCCTCAGGCATGCAAGGCAAGCGCTCTACTACTGAGCCACCTTCCCAGCCCTGCTTGCCAGTTCTTGAGCTTCAAATCCTCACATCTTAGCCTCCTGAATAGGATTACAGGCACCAGGCAAGCTTTCAAAATTTTACCTTGTTGTTGTTGTTGTCAGTTGTGGGGCTTGAACTCAGGGCCTGGGTGCTGTCATGGAGCCTCTTTGTGCTAGTGTTCTACCACTTGAGCCACAGTACCACTTCTGGTTTTTGAGTGGCTAATTGGAGATCAGAGTCTCACCAGGGACTTTTCTGCTCTGCCTGGCTTGGAACCATGATCCTCAGATCTCAACTTCCTGAGTAGCTAGGATTACAGGCATGAGCCACCGGCACCCAGCTCATAATTTTTTACCTTATACTTACCAACATAAATTGGAATGAAGTGTGAACAAGCATGGGGTTGGGTGTCGTGTGCTAATGGCTCACACCTGTAATCCTACCTATTCAGGAGGCTGAGATCAGAGGATCAAGTTCAAAGGCAGCCCAGGCAGGAAAGTCTGTGAGACTCTTATCTCCAATTAACCACCAGAAAACTGGAAATGGTGCTGTGGCTCAAGTACTAGAGCGTTCGCCTTGAGCTGAAGAGCTGAGGGACAGCACCCAGGTCCCACATCTGACCAAAACAAAAAAACAAAAAAAAACAACTGGGGTTAGTGATGACTATGGTTTTTGGCCTGTGCCAATGGAAAGATGAGTTGTCATTTACTGAGTTGAAGTAAAACTTTTGGGTAGGCAGAGAGGATCAGGAATTTGGTCTGGGAATCATTAGGTTTGATATTATCCACTGGCAGTATTAAATGGTCAAGTGTGTAAGAGTCTGAGTTTGAGGAGGATAGACTAGTGGGAATGTTAAATTTGGGGATCATTTCTGTGTGTGTGTGTGTAAAATATATAATCATGAAACCAAATCTCATCAGTACCAAGAAAGTACACAGGGATAAAATGGACAAGATGGTGCTGGGCTGGGCATAACACTGTGGATTGAGGAGTCTGGGCAATAGAAGAGGCCCAAGCAGCACCTGAGCAACGTGTTATAGGTCAAGGAGATTTATGCAATACTAATCCCCTTTTCTGACTTTTTATCTTTTTTTCCTTTTAGCTAATTTTCGAAATTTGACAACTCAGTCTGACCAGCCAAGGTAAGAAAATAAGAAAAAAAATCTTGTCCAGCCCCAAAGAACTGGTGATGTGGTATTTCTTTTTTTTGTTTGTTTGCTTGTTTGCTTATGTGGTGCTGAGGAATCGAACCCAGGGCCTCGGGTATGCAAGGCAAGTGCTCTACCACTGAGCCAACTTCCCAGCCCGTGATGTGGTATTTCTAAAAGAACTGTTTAACATAATGGGACTCTTGCTTCAAAATTTAGCTTGTCCTTAACTAGTGGAGATGTATGGGGAAAATGAGTTACCTTTCCTCCCTCCTATAAATTGTATAATTATCCTGTTGAGGTACTTACTTTATTATTATTAGAAGGAAATAAGGGACAAATAGTTTTTGGAGTTCTTTGAAATGAACTGTCTTTGAATTTATTTTTGGAAAAGCACATGAATGTACCTATCAGGCAGTAAATCAACATCAAGAAAAGGTTGGGGTGATTTGAAGCAAAAAAGTTAAGTTGGGATAGATCTCATGCTTATTGGCAGAAACATTATAGACAACACAAGACTCAGACCCATTTAGTTAGTTGTTGTTTTTTTCTCATCCTGGGCTTTGAACTCGGGGCTTGGGCACTTTGCCTCAGCTTTTGCTCAAGGCCAGCAGCATTCTACCACTTGAGCCATGGTATCACTTCGAGCTTTTTCTGTGATTAAATGGAGATAAAGTGTCTTATAGACTTTCCTGCCTGGGCTGGCTTGGAACTGTGCTTCTGAAATCTCAGCCTCCTGAGTAGCTAGGATAACAAATGTGAGCCACAAGCACCCGGCTTAGTTTTCCTTTGTACAATTAGCTTTGTTATTTTTTTCCTTTGGATTGGCCTGCTTGTTTGTGTTTTTCAGTTGTCATTTGTTGTTGTTTTGTTTTGGTGATAGTACTGGGCCTTGTGCTCTCACTTGGTTTTTCAGTGAAGGTCTGCCACTTGAGCCACACCCCTACTTTCTGCTGTTACTTTTACTTGTTGTCTTTAGTCATGAAGGTGATGCCATCAAAGTTTTTGTGCGGATTCGTCCACCGGCAGAAGGCGGGAGATTTGCTGATGGAGAACAGAACTTGTGCTTGTCTGTGCTCTCGTCCACTACTCTGCGGCTACACTCTAACCCAGAGCCCAAGACCTTTATGTTTGATTATGTTGCGGACATGAACACCACTCAGGTAATGATGGCTAGAAACTTGACATTTTCTTCTTGGAGAGTGGAAGGCATGGTGATTTGTAAGGATTTCATTTCTGGCTGTTTTAGTTTGGGAGATTTCAAATAATCACAAACATTCCATGAATATTTCAAATCTAATTTTGTTAATTTTGTTCTTTATTCGTCGAACTATACCAGAATGACCCTTGCTCATTTTATTCCTCCTCACCTCAGAGATGGAGGTGAATGGTGGCAGTCTGGGGCTTGAACTCAGGGCCTGGGCACTGTGGTGAGGTTTTTCTGCTAACACTCTACTACTTGAGCCACAGCTGTACTTCTGGCTTTTTGCAGATTAATTGGAGATAAGTGTCTCATGGACTTTGCTGCCTGGGCTGGCTTTGAATTGCCAACCATAGTTTGGAGCCTCCTAGGATTAGAGGCATGAGCCACTGGCACTTGCCTGGATATATACTCTTTAGAGACACTTGATAAGTGATAAGTACAGTTCATGGCCTAGTTAATGGATTTAGTATTATTGCCAATAACTTCTCTTCTAATTGAGGTCAATATAATTGAAACTTAGTCCTATCTCATATAACTTTTGGTAATTTGGGCATGTTTTATGTCTGAGCTGTCTGTTACATTAACCTTTTGCTACTTAATTTTAAGTTAATATTATATAAAATTTAAAATCTGTACAAATGGGTACGTCTACCTCTATTGTGGGTAGTATGTCTGAACTAAGTTTAATTTAATCTTAAATAGCTGCATAGTAGCTAATGACCACTGTACTGGACATCATTGGTCTGGAATATTCTCTTTTTTTTTTTGTTGATTGTGGAGCTTGAAATCGGCCTGGGAACTGTCCCTGAGCTCTTTTGTTCAAGGCTCTGCTACTTTGAGGCACACCTCCACTCCCAGTTTTTTAGTGGTTAATTGAAGATACTAAGTTAACAATAAATTAAATATATATTATATATATGTTAAACAATAAGACAATAAGTTAATTGGGTCTTTTCTACCCATGTTGGCTTTGAACCATAATCGTCAGATCCCAGCTGCCTTAGTAGCTAGGTTTACAGGCATGAACCACTGATGCCCAGGTGGAATATTCTCTTGTTCATGCACATGAACCTTTTTGGCAAGATCTCTCTCCCTCCCTCCTTCTTTCCCTCCCTCCTTCTCTCACCCTCCTTTCTCTCTTTCTCTCTCTGCAAGTCCTGAGGCTTGAACTCAGGGCCTGGGCACTGCCCCTGAGCAGCTTTTGCTCAAGGGTAGCATTATACCACCTGAAGAACCACAGTGCCACTTCCAGCTTTTTCTGTTTATGTGGTACTAGGAATCGAACCCACAGCTTCATGCATGTTAAACAAGCACTCTACCACTAACAGCATTCCCAGCCCTCTTTTTTAAAAAAAATTAAGTATCTAGTTCACTACTGGCCAGTAGAAATAAAACATTTAAACAATGTTACTAAGTTAGCTTGATTAGATGCTACATATGGTCTGGTTCCTAACCTGCACCTCATCTTGTTGCATGCATGCAATGCGAGTGTGCTGCTCTTGGGACTTGAACAGCCTGAATGCTGTCCGTTAGTTATTTCACTCAAGGCTGCCACTCTACATTTAAACCACAACTCTACTTCCCTTTTGATGGTTAAGTGGAAATAAGGGTCTCATGGACTTTGCTGCCTCTGCTGTCTTCAACCCAGGATCCTCAGATCTCAACTTCTTGAGTAGCTAGAATTACAGGAGTAACAACTCACCTATCATTAGTTGAAGTTCTAGCATCTTAGATATTTTAGCCATTATTCTATAGTCAATGTAATCTTCATGTTGTCAAGTAGGTCTAAGCACTCTCATTTTTTAAAAAATTGTATTTCTTTTTTCTGAAATGTGAACATGTTGGGTGCTTACATTTGTAGGAGTCGGTGTTCTCAACTGTGGCTAAAAGCATTGTGGAGTCGTGCATGTGTGGTTATAACGGCACCATTTTTGCATAGTAAGTGTCCACTGTGTTCATGGTATAGGAGTGAGCGCTTGTGTTAATTTCCTATTGTGTTTTTAATGAATTATACCAAATGTAGTGGCTTAAAGCAATGTAGACACATAATCCTACAATTCTGTAAGGTAGAAAGTCAACATATAGGTCTTTCTAAGCTAAAATCAGTGCTGTTTTCCTCCTTGGAACCTGAGCAGGAAAATTTGTTACTCTGTGTTACTAGGACATAAGCAAGTAGACTATTTTTTCCCCTGATTTTTCAGGAACCTTTAGTCAAAAAGTAAATTCAGAATTTGGTATTTTTGCTATGCATCTGAGTCATTTGAAAACTCACTTGCTATCTACTGTGACATATAACTTTCATTAAGTTTGGTTTTGGTACTCTGATTTCTTTTTAAGTGGAATAATGTAAGGAGATAAGATCTTATTTTTAAAAAATTTAGATCTGTAAGAATTTTTTTTTTTTTAATAATTCTGGGTTTGAACTCAGCTCTGGCCTTGCTAAGGAAGCACTGTACCGTGTGAGAGTGGAGTGAAGCACCAACATGTGAAACACTCTCCCCAGCTCTTTTTTTTTTTTTCTTTTTTTTTGTCAGTCATAGGTATTGAACTCAGGGTCTGGACATTGTCCCCTGAGCTCTTTTGCTCAGTCAGTGCTCTATCACTGTGAGCCACAGCACCACTTCTGGATTTCTAGTGGTTCATGGACTTTCCTTATCTTCAATTAGCCACTATAAAATGGGAAGTGGCACTTTAGCTTAAGTGGTAGAACACAAGCTTTGAGCAAAAGAGCTCAGGGACAGCGCGTAGGCCCTGAGTTCAAGTTCCACAACCGACAAAGAGTCTCACAGCCTTTCTTGCCATGCAGGCTTTGAGTTGCAATCCTCAGATTTCAGCCTCCTTATTAGCTCAAGTTATAGGCACAGAGCCACCAGCACCTAGCCTCCCTGAGCTGAGAACTGAAGGAAAGCTTGTATTTATTGTCTGATATAAAATTAAGGTATAGGCCTACTACAGACCAGTATAAAGATACTGTCCACTTTTTGCAAAAGAAAATTCTGATGGCCGTGTTTTTATTATATTGAAGCACTTGTCTGTACTTAACTCTTGGTTATGGTACTGGAAGAAAAAAAATAGATCATTCCTTTTTCACCTCATAGAATTCTAAAAGAGAGCCAGGTACCAGTGGCTCACACCTGTAATCCTAGCTACTCAGGAAGCTGAGATCTGAGGATTGTGGTTTGAAGCCAGCCCAGGCAGAAAAGTTCCCATGAGACTTATCTCCAGTGTAACCACTCAATAACTGTAAGTGGCACTGTGGCTCAAGTGTTAGAATGCTAGCCTTGAGCACAAAGAGGCTCAGGGACAGGACCCAAGCTCTGAGTTCAAGCCCCACAACTGACAAAAAAAATTATAAAAGAGAAAATAAGTTTTTGCGGGGACATTTTATGCACTTGTAGCCCATATTGAACTAGAGAAGGTAGGAGGGTTTTTTTTTTTCCAATTTTTCTTTTTTGTGTGTCAAAATACTAAATAGCACATTGTTTTTTACAGTGGGCAGACTGGCTCAGGGAAGACTTTTACTATGATGGGTAAGTAAAGGTGAATGTTTGTGGCTTATTGTATTTTTTTCTGTGATGACAGCAAGGGAACATTTTGTGGAAGACATTTTAAATGTGATGTTGACTAAATTTAAGTAACGGTGCTCCCCAGGCTTCTGCCATATATTGAGATTCTGGATAGCAAATCCATTGGTTAATCATGCTTGTAGCAGTGGCTCCTACTCAGTCCTTCGCACAGACCAGTTTTTTGTAGTGGGGTTTAGTAGATTTTCATATATGAGTATATCTCTGTTATACTCTCTGTCAAGATCAAGATTCTTGGTAATAACTCCTACTACTGCTTCGTCTCCTATTGTCATTAATTAGGCTGGTTTGGCTTTGTACTTCCACATAGGAAATTGTACTATAGCCATTCTTCTGTTTCTGGCTTCTCTGCATTAAGCTCCTATTGCTGTTTGTACTAGTTTGTTTCCTTTACTATGCCTTCCTGTAAAACTTAACTTAGTACCTACGGGTTTTTTGTTGTTGTTGAAGTTGTTGTTTTCTCATCCAACAATAGCTATTTTAAAATACGGCTTGATGGCTTCTGTGGGCCATTGACGCAGACCCACTGACAGGCAGGTTTTCTTACTCTATCTTCACAAGCTTAAATACAACTTGTTTGAAGAACAAGTAGAACATAGTACAATATGTTATCTTATTTACAAATTGGCTTTCAGTGTTGCCATTGGGTTAGAATAAAAATCAAAAGGCTTCTTATTTCTTTACCTTTTTTTTTTCTTTTTAGGACCATCTGAATCTGATCATTTTTCTCATAACTTGAGAGGACTAATCCCCCGAAGTTTTGAATATTTGTTTTCCTTAATTGATCGTGAGAAAGAGAAGGTAAGAATGTACAAACAAAATGGTTCTGTGAAATGTCGTTTTGAGTTCATTAGCTAGTAATAAAGTTATCTCATGAACATGATCTTTCATGAATCTGAAAAGTAGATAGGCTAGTGTGGTATAAATGTCCTGTCAGTTCCCAAGATAAAGTTAAAAACTCTAGGGACTGGGCAGGTGGCTCAGTGGTAGAGTGCTTGCCTTGCATGCATGAGGCCCTCAGTTCGATTCCTCAGCACCAAATAAGCAGAAAAAGCTGGAAGTGGGTCTGAGGCTCAAGTGGTAGAGTGCTAGTCTACAGCTGAAGAGCTGAGGGACAGTGCCCAGGCCCAGAGTTCAGGTCCCACAACCGACAAAAAAATAAAAACTGAGGGTTTTCAATTAGAGGTTTTAGGTTATAAAGCATGCATCACCCTTTAACTGGTGTGCTTGCTTACAAAAAAGAACAGTACTGCTTCTCAAAAGGTTTTACAAGATACAAAGTGTAAAGAAAATCTCAACCCCAAAAAAGAGAAACTCTAATATGCCATGTCCCATCATCTACCAGTGCCTATCATCTACCAGTACCTCAGCTCACAGGTGATCATGGATGTCACCTGATGTCCTGTAGTGATGGACTCCATCCTTGCTTCCTTCCACTCACCATGATCAGGCTGTGTGTGTGCTATGGCCCTAAAACCTGCAATGTGCTCTTCCCTTTCTCTCTGCTTCACAGCTTGAGGTGTTCTAGTGATTGTATTTTCTTGTTAGCTTTGAGAATTCCAGGCTTACTAACCCTTAGTGTTTATGTTTTATTCCTTATATATCAGGGCAACTGATATTTAATATTGTTTCTAACATTGCAGCTAAGACGTACAAATTACTTGTAAGTGAAATGATTAAGTTCAGCACCATGCATTTAAAAGCCCAGTGTCTGCCTGGTTCCAGGGGTTCACACCTATAATCCTAGCTAGTGAAGAGGCTGAGTTCTATGGATCACTGTCAGAACTAACCTGGGCAGGAAAATGCATGAGACACTTGCCTTCAATTACCTACCAAAAAACTAGAATTAGAGATGTAACTCAAGTGGTAAGAGTGTGAAGCCTTGAGCAAAAAGGCTAAAGGACAGTACCGAGGCCCTGAGTTCAAGCCCCAGGAGCCGCCCCAAACCAAACAAAAAGAATGCAGTTACAATCTTCAAATTATGGTGGTCTTTGGCACCTCTGGAAACATCTAGAAATCGAAGGAGCACAGTTCTGTGTTCTGAAAGGTGAGTCTAGTGATGTGGATTTTTTTAGGCACTTTATTTTGTATTTAAGGAACCTATTATGGGGAATTAACAACTTGTGAAAAAGAGTGCTGGTGAAAGCTGGGGGTGAATGTAAACATAATGCATCTAAGTAAGGCTTGTCCTTCACAGGCTGGAGATGGGAAGAGTTTCCTTTGTAAGTGTTCCTTCATCGAAGTCTACAATGAACAGATCTATGACCTGCTGGACTCTGCTGCAGCTGGCCTGTACTTGAGGGAGCACATCAAGAAAGGTGTCTTTGTTGTGGGTGCATCTGAGCAGGTGGTGACCTCAGCTGCCGAAGCCTATCAGGTATCGAGCACTGTTGGTTTGATACATAGGCAATAAACATGCGTGTGATTGCATCTCAATCTCAGACTAATAAAGTCATATCACAAAATGTTCATGGTCAGTAACTTAGTTAATATAAAACTTTGGCCATGCTGGGCGCTGGTGGCTCACGCCTGTAATCCTATCTACTCAAGAGGCTGAGATTGGAGGATTGCAGTTCAAAGCCAGCCCGGGCAGGAAAGTCCATGAGACTCTTATCTCCAATAAACCACCAGAAAACTAGAAGTGGCTCTGTAGCTCAAGTGGTAGAGCACTCAACTTGAGCTGAAGAGCTGAGGGACAGCGCCCAGGCCCAGAGTTCAAGCCCCACAACAGACAAGAAAAAAAAACAAGTTTGGCCAGGCATGGTAGTACTTGCCTGTAATCTCAGCTTTCAAGAGAGTGAAGTGAAAGGATTGTGAGTTCAAGGGTACTCTTGGCTATATAGTAAGATACTCTCTCTGACTTCTCTCCCACCAAAAAAGGAACTTAGGGTTACTTGATGCTGTAGTATTTGGGTGTTATTATCCCCCGAGCCTGGGGCTTGAACTCTGGGCCTGGGTATTGTCCCTAAGCTCCTTTTGCTCAAGGCCAGCACTCTACCACTTGAGCTAAAGCACCACTTCTGGCTTTTTCTAAGTAGTTTATTGGAGGTAAGAGTTTCACAGGTTTTCCTTCCTGGGCTGCCTTCGAACCGTGATATTCAGATCTCAGCCTCCTGAGTAGCTAGGATTACAGGTGTGAGCCACAAGCGCCTAGCTTATTATTCCCTCTTATCAGATACTCCTAAAATAAATTACCCTGCAATGTAGAGTGCTTCTGGGTTTGTGAACCACCCTTGTCTTCTCTTTCCTCCTAGTCCATTGTTCCTGTGTGTGTGTGTGTGTGTGTGTGTGTGTGAGAGAGAGAGGGAGAGAGAGTGTATGTGTGTGAGTGTGTGTGAGAGAGAGTGAGTGTGTGTGTGTGTGAGAGAGAGAGAGTATGTGTGTGAGAGAGAGTGAGTGTGTGTGTGTGTGTGTGTGCGCGTGTGTCTCGGTCGTGGGGCTTGATCTCTGGGCCTGGGTGCTGTCCAGTGCCACCTCCAGCTTCTGTTTAGGTGGCACTGAGGAATTGAACCCAGGGCTTCATGCATGCTAGGCAAGCACTCTACCTCTAAACCACATTCCAGCCCATAATTTTTTTTTTTTTAATTTAACAACGGAACAATGGAGGGCTGGGAATATGATTTAGTGGTAGAGTGTTTGCCTAGCATGCATGAAGCCCTGGGTTCCATTCCGCAATACCACCTAAGCAAAAGAAGCTGGAAGTGGCGCTGTGGCTCAAGTGGTAAGATACTAGCCTTGAGCAAAACAAACAAACAAACAAAAAAAACTAAATAAAATGTGTTTGACTATTTATGATCGAATTAGCATGCATGTTTCTGTTGATTTTCCCCATGGAGCTCCTTATTTTAGGAGATCCCTGGGTATGGTAACCTTTTACCAGGTGGCTGTTCTTTTTCTACCTCTGCTTGCTTGTGGTGTGGCACTAAAAGCCAGCTTCTGAATTCTCAGCTCAGGGTAGACAAACCCACTGACAGAGCTCTTGATAGGTCACACCTACAATCCTAGCTGCTTAGGAGGCTAAGATCTGAGGATCGTGGCTTGAAGCCAGCCCGGATCGGAAAGTCTGTGGGACCTTTATCTTTAACTAGCACAAAGCCAGAGTGATTCTGTGGCTCAAGTGACAGCCTTGAGCACAACAGACTAAGTGAGATTATGAAGTTCGAAGTTCAAGTCTTCTGACCTGCATACACATGAAAGTAGAACATTAACTGTTAGAATATTCTTGTTAGAACGAGCACTTGTAAGGTGCTTACTTTGTGATTCAGTTGTCTTAAGTGTACCTGTGTGGCTCCTTTGACCCAGGTGTTGTCTGGAGGATGGAGGAACAGACGTGTTGCATCTACATCAATGAACAGAGAGTCCTCTAGGTCTCATGCAGTCTTTACCATCACCATAGAGTCAATGGAGAAGAGTAATGAGACCGTGAACATACGGACCTCCTTACTAAATCTGGTGGATTTAGCAGGATCTGAAAGGCAAAAAGATACTCATGCAGAAGGGATGAGGTTAAAGGTAAGGATGAAATCATGAGTCAGGTGCCTGTGGCTACTCAAGAGACCGAGCATTGCAGTTTGAAATCAGCCCAGGCAGGAAAGTCTATGGGACACTTGTCACAGATTAATCACCAAAAAGCCAAAAGTGAAGTTGTGGTTCAAGTGGTAGAGCGCCAGCCTTGAGTGAAAAAGCTAAGGGAATGTGTTCAGGCCCTGAGTTCAAACACCAGGGACCAACACACACACACAAAAGTTTACTAGATAAATGTTTTCTTAGTTTGTTTTTTTGCCAGTCCTGGGGCTTGAAATCGACCTACACACTGTCCATGGGCTGTTTTTTTTTTGTTGTTGTTTTTTGCTCAAGGGTAGCGCTCTACCACTTGAGCCACAGCACCACTTCCAGCTTTTTGTGTTTATGTGGTACTGAGGAATTGAACCCAGGACTTCATGAATGCTAGGCAAGCACTCTACCACTAAGCCACACTTTCAGCCCCTAGATAAATGTTTTGTAAATACTTTCTCTCTGATAGGCTGCCTTTCCCTTTGTTTCCTTTGCTGTACAGAAAGTATTTCCATTTGTTGTTAAGGTTACCTGTGTTGTGAGTCATTATTACCTTTGTTTACAAAAGATCACTCATGTCAGTGTCAAGGAGTATTTATCTGTTTCCCTATAGGAATTTTTTATTTTTTTATTGTCAAGGTTACATAAATAAGGTAATAACATTTCTTGTCAAACTTGTTATCCCTTCCCTCATTTTTCTTCTACTTCCCTCCCCCAAGCCCCCTCCAAGTTGAACAGATCATTTCTAGCATATTCCCCACAGGAATTTTATGGTTTCAAACCTCACATTTAAGTTATTAAGCTGTTGAGATCTCATCTTCAGTTTTAGTTATTAACCTTGATATGTCCAGTTTCATTCTTTGATATATGAGTATATAATTTCTCTAATATTTATTGAAAAGAAATAAAAAAGGACCTACTCCTAAGCCAACATACTAGTAGTGGGACCAGAACTTCTATGTCATATGTATTACCAGTAAGAATACAGGTATTGAATGTGAATTGTCATTAAAGTATACATAGGGATTCTATATTTTAAGATACATATCATTAGGAATCAGAATTACAGATGCACCTTTTCTATTTAAAGTGAGATTTGAGGGGCTGGGAATGTGGCTTAGTGGTAAAGTGATTGCCTAACATGCCTGAAGCCCTGGATTCAATTCCTCAGTACCACATAAGCAGAAAAAGCTGGAAGTGGTGCTGTGGCTCAAGTGGTAGAGTGTTAGCCTTGAGCAGAAAAAGGAGATCAGGGATAGCACCCAGGCCCTGAGTTCAAGCCCCAGGACTGGCAAGCCAAAAAAAAGAATTTTTGAGGGGCTGGGAAGGTGGCTCAGTGGTAGAGCACTTGCCTTGCATGCATGAGGCCCTGGGTTCGATTCCTCAGCACCACATAAACAAACAAACAAAAAAAAGCCAGAAGTGGTCCTGTGGAGCTGAAGAGCTGAGGGACAGTGCCCAGGCCCAGAGTTCAGGCCCCATGACCAGACCAAAAGAAAATTTATTTTTGAAGTACAGTTAGCAATTTATTGCTTTTGTACTTTTCTAAAGTTACTGTGTATATCAAACAGGAGAAGTTGAACATTCTTTTAACTGAAATTCACTTGTCTTTAATAGTGCCCATGTATTACTTTCTGTCTCTAATGGTCAACTTACTAGAAATATTTTAGGTCAAAACAAAATAGTGGCCATTGTGCCTAATTTTTTTTTTCCTGGTCTTAGGCCTTGAACTCTGGGCATGGGCACTGTCCTTGAGATTCTTTGTGCTCCAGACTAGTGTTCTACCACTTGAGTCACAGCACCACTTCTGGCTTTTTCTGAGTAGTTTATTGGAAATAAGAGTCTTATAGATTTTCCTGTCAAGTCTGGCTTTGAATTGCAATCATCAGCTCCCAGCCTCCTGAGTAGAGCTAGGATTACAGGCATGAGCTACCAGTGCCTTTGTTTTGTTTTTGAGACAGGGTCTTGTATGTGACCTTGGCTGGCCTGGATCTTACTGTGTAGCTCAAGCCAGCCTCAAACTCAATCCTCATGCCTTAGTCTCCTGAGTGCTTAGACTGTAGCTGTGTACCACTACTTCTTGCTCTGAGTTTTTCTTTTTTTCCCTGATGCTTTAGGAAGCAGGTAACATAAACCGATCCTTGAGTTGCCTGGGACAAGTGATTACTGCTCTCGTTGATGTGGGTAATGGAAAGCAGAGACACATTTGCTACAGAGACTCCAAACTTACCTTCTTACTACGGGTAACAGACATCTTGGGTATTGGGTCTGCTTTAATATTGCTAAGACCCATGGTGGGACAGTTTGAGCTGTAGTAGTTTGCTTTAAAGGTTCTGTGCTTTCTCAACTAATATGTGTATCTTTCATGTTATCGAACAGGATTCTCTAGGTGGTAATGCCAAAACAGCCATAATTGCAAATGTTCATCCTGGATCCAGGTGCTTTGGAGAAACACTATCAACACTTAATTTTGCCCAAAGAGCCAAGCTGATTAAAAACAAGGTAATTACCTGACTATATTTTACTAAGTTAGAAAAATACTTAAACTTTTAAGTATTTCGTATTTGTGATTCCCCCAGTAATAATGTTCTTTATAAAAGCTTATTTTAACAATATGCAAGTATATGGTGGTGTGAGTGTCATTTGATAACAGTGACAAACACCTGAGCTCAAGCCCATGATTGACCAAAAGAGACTACCTGTGTGTGTGTGTGTGTGTGTGTCATGGGGGCTGAAATCTGGACCTGGGGGCTATTTTCAGTTCAAGGCTAGTGCTCTACCACTTGAGCCACAGTGCCACTTCCAGTTTTTTCTGCTTACATGGTGCTGAGGAATCGAACCCAGGGCCTCATGCATGCAAGGCAAGAACTCTACCACCGAGCCAACTTCCCAGTCCACTACCTGAGCTTTTTTTGCTCTAGTCTAGCACTCTACCACTTTGAGCCACAGAGTCACTTCAGATCTTCTGGTGGTTAATTGGAGATAAAAGTCTCATAGATCTCCTGCCCTGGCTGGCTTTGAACAGCAATCATCAGATCTCAGGTTCCTTAGTAGCTAGAATTAGAGGCATGAGCCACCATCACCTATGAGACTCTTACCTCTAATGAACCACCTGAAAACCGGAAGCTGAGCTTTAGCATTGAGCAAAAAAGCTAAGGGACAGTGCCTAGGCCCTAAGTTCAAGTCTCAATACACACACTCTCTCTCTCTCTCTCTCTCTCTCTCTCTCTCTCTGTATCCTCCAGAATTTTGACCCCCTAGCTTTGTGGCTATTAGCAATTATATGAGAAGGAAATACCACTAAAGCTTCCTGACCCTGACTCTTGGAACTTAGAACAAGTGCTTAGAGAGTATAGAACTGCAACTGAGAGTATGAATTATGATATCACTGAGGTGTAATGATGCCACAGGTGTTCTAACACACACAACAGACCCAGGGAGCTTTGCACTTGTCACTATACATGGTAGGTCCCCCTGATATGTCCTCTCATGGAAATACTACCTATCTTGGACTTGTTTTATGATTAGCTTTTTTTTTTCCCCTATGGAGGGTCTTGAACTCTGGGCCTGAGTTGCTGGTCCTGAGGTCTTCAGTTCAAGGTGAGAGCTCTGCCACTTGAGCCACAGCGCCACTTCTGGTTTTCTGGTGGTTCATTGGAGATAAGAGTTTCATGGCCGGATGGATGTTCCTGCCCCGGCTGGCCTTGAACCACGATCCTCAGATCCCAGCCTCCTGAATAGATTACAGACAGGAGCCACCTACTCCTGGCTAAGTCTGTGTGACTCTTATCTCCAGTTAACCACCAGAAAACTAGAAGTTGCGCTGTGGCTCAAACACGCTCCTTGAGCTGAAGAGCTTAGCTACGGTGCCCAGGCCGTATCCAATCCCTCACAATGGGTGCTATTTTAAAAAAAAGTTTAGCTGGGCACTGTGGCTCATGCCTGCAATCCTGGGTACTCTGGAGGGTGAGATCTGAGGATCATGGTTCAAAGCCAGCCCTGGCAGGAAAGTCTGTGAGACTCATCTCCAATTAACCACCAGAAAACCGGAAATGGTGCTGTGGCTCAAGTAGGAGAGTGCTCACTTTGAGCTGAAAAGCTGAGGGACAGCGCCCAGGCCCAGAGTTTAAGCCCTGTGACTGACAAAAAATTTAGTTAACATGTGGAGAGGAAAAGTAGTGTTAATACTTTGTGGTTCTTACACAGGCAGTGGTGAATGAAGACACCCAAGGAAATGTGAGCCAGCTCCAAGCTGAGGTGAAGAGGCTCAGAGAACATTTGGCTCAGTTTACTTCTGGACTGGTCCAACCAGAAAACTTTCTTGCCACAGGTAGGATGAACTCAGTCTCCTTTCTTCCTTGATAAGAGTCCCTTGATGACAGATAGAACACAATGCATATAGTAAGGCTTTCCAGAATTTTCCGCAACTGTCTCTTCATTCATTTCACTTGTATAGGAACATGGTGGTTATATTCAGATACAGGTGCCATAGGTGTTCCATCCTGTGAGATAGGACTAACAACTTTATCTCCTTTTAGCAGGAAGAAGTACTAAGAGATGAATGAATCTACATGTATTCACTAAATAGGATAGGAGTGATTTATTTTATTCAAAGGATCCAAGTCCTGATTCTGTCTACCATATGCAGTCTGTATGTTAACTACATAGCTTTTTTTTTTCCCAAGAATAACTAATATGTTTGATGGGTTAATTTGAAACCATGATCCAGCATTGACAGTCCAATTCTTTCAGAGTCATTGAGAGCAGGGGCTGGGAATGTGGCTCATTGATAGAATGCTTGCCTACTATGCATGAAGCCCTGAGTTCAATTCCTCAGTACCACACAAACAGAAAAAGCTGGAAGTGGCACTGTGGCTCAAGTGGTAGATTGCTAGCCTTGAGCAAATGAAGCTCAGGGACAGTGCCTAGGCCCTGAGTTCAAGCCCCAGGACTGGCAAAAAAACAAAAAACCAAAAAAAAACACCAACAACAGAAAACCAGAGTAATTGAGAGCCATTAATCAAAGACTGCCTTTTTGTTCATCTCTTAAGTTTTGAAAAATAAGCCATTTTTCCCTCTTTTCCTTCTTTTTCTTACTGGTTCAATTACAGACCAAGAGAAGCCTAGTTACCTAGAGCATTTCCTGGAAGCAATGTTGTTCTTTAAGAAATCTGAAGAGGAAAAGAAGGTAGGAATCTGCATTAGGATAAGAACGAGTCAGGAAAATTTTTTAAGATTTCTTATTGTTGCTTTTTTATTTCCTTACTGAGTGAAATAAATGCATCACATTAATAAGACGCTGTGAAAATCTAGCTTTACATTTTATTTTATTTATTTTTTTTGGTCGGTCGTGGGGCTTGAACTCTGGGCCTGGGCACTGTCCCTCAATTCTTCAGCTCAAGGTGAGCGCTCTACCACTTGAGCTACAGCGCCACTTCTGGTTTTCTGGTGGTTTATTGGAGATAGGAGTCTCATGGTCTCTCTTGCCCGGGCTGGCTTTGAACCGCGATCCTCAGATCTCAGCCTCCTGAGTAGCTAGGATTACAGGCGTGAGCCACCAGCGCCTGGCTAGCTTTACATTTTAAAATTAAGTCTGAATGTAGTGTTGGTTTCTGAATTTATGCAAACTTTTAAGGTAGCTGCATGATTCTTCATGTCTGACCAAACTATGAATTTCTAAGTCTCTGGCAGAAAAAATCACCCAATTGGAAGACCTCAACCTCAAAAAGGAACAGTTTATTCAGTCCAATAAAATGATCGTGAAATTCCGGGAAGATCAAATCATGCGCCTGGAGAAGCTCCAGAAAGAATCCCGGGGCAGTTTTCTGCCTAAGGAGCAGGAGTGTTTGCTCTCAGAATTAAGGCTTGAGATCCAAACTCTGCGAGAACAAGTGAGTGCGTAGCAGTGGAATATTTCTGTCTCCAAAAAGGAGGCTAGCAGAAATTGGTCACCATATCCTTTCTCTTTATTGTCATACATTTTAAATGTATCTCCGTTTCCCACCTGTTCTAAAATGATTATTTCTGCAGAGCAAAAAAAGCGTGAGTATGAGCTTGAATGCATAGCATTTGCTCTTGGTCAGCCAGGCAGAATTTGCCATGTTGGTAATTAGGATGATCAAAATCCAAAGTATCTTTAAAATTGAGCCTTTGGGGGTCTTGCTTTTTTGTTTTTTCTCTTTTCCTTTCCTAATGGAATATGTAAGGTCTCAAAACTGTTATGTTACCAGCATTTCTGTATTTCTCCACAGATGTTAATGCATGTTTGATTAGAATAGCTAGTAATTTTTTTTTTTTTTTTTGTAGATTGTAGGGCTTGCACTCAGGGCCTAGGTGCTGTCCCTGAGCCTTTTTGCTTAAGACTAGTGCTCTACTACTTTGAACGGCAGCTTCCCTTGCGGTTTTTGAGTGGTTAATTAAAGCTGAGTCTCGTGTATTTTTTTTGTCCCAGCTGGCTTTGAACGCAATCCTCAGATCTCAGCCTCCTGAGTAACTAGGATTACAAGCATGAGCCACCAGCGCCCGATTGTCTTTTTCAATTAATGTTTCTTGAACAATTGAATCTTAGTAGACGGAGTTTCTTTACTCATTTTAGTAATTTTTTTTCTTACATAGATTTAGCTCTACTCTTTTGTGTGCAGAATGGGCCAGGTTGCATATGCTTGTGTTTCTTTTTCTCTCCCAGAGCCTGAGAGAATGAATGTTTCATGCATCTTAGGGTAAAGAAGAGTTGTAGGATCTCCTATTTCAATCCGAGTGCAGTTGTCAAGTCTTTCTTCACAGTAGTTGCAGCAGAATACAACCAGTACTGCCTGGGTGTTCTAATATTTTCTAATGGCTTTTTAGTGAGACTAGTTCATTACAGGAGCGGTCATAAGAAATAATTTGTGTAATCCTTCTATACAGATAAATCACCACCCTAGAGTTGTAAAGTATGCGATGGAGAATCATTCTCTCAGGGAGGAGAATAGGAAACTGAAATTACTGGAGCCTGTAAAAAGGGCCCAAGAAATAGATGCCCACACTGTTGCAAGACTACAGAAAGCTTTTTCAGAAGTGACTGGCACAGAGAAAATCGAAGAAGGTAATCGATGATTATCCTGAGGAGCTTCAGTTTGTTTGTTTGATTGTTGTGGTAGTGGAGACTAAACTTAGGGCCTGACTTGAACTATACTCTCAATATCATCTCTTGTTTCTGAGTGTGTGTGTGTGTGTGTGTGTGTGCGTGTGCGTGTGTGTGCATGTGTGTGTGTGTGTGTGTGTTGGTGTATGTAAGATGATCAAACCCAGAGCCTTCTGCATGTCTGGCAAGGCACTAAACTGCTCTAAAACCCTAAATCTTACTACTTTTGCAAAATAGTGATGGTAATTTCTTAGAGCACAGTTTATATAGCATTCTCTAAGTGACTTTTATGTGATATCTGCCTGTGCTGGAACCCAATGGACTGACCTATTCAGTCTATTAAACAATCCTAGAACACTAACATTTTCTATCTAATAGACGATACTTGCTTCCTAAGTAATTTATTGACCAATTCCTTAAAGTTCAACTGTTCAGTTTTTCTGTTCAGCGGAAGATGAGTCTTGTCCCATAGTGGTTAGCTTGGTTGGCTTTCTCCCAATAGAAGAGGTGTCTGTGCCTTTGTTGTTATTATAGTCCTAAAGCTTGAAATCAGGGTCTATTCCTTAGCTTGGAAATAAGAGTCTTATGGACTTGACTATTGAGGCTGGCTTTGAACCACAGTCCTAAGATCTCAGCCTCCTGAGTAGCTAGGATTACAGGCATGAGCCCCCGTGCCTGGTCCTGTGCCCTTTTCTAATCCTTCCTTGGCACATTGTGTCATCCTCTGTCTCCTGTTGAGGGATAGGTACTTAACATTATAGGCACCACCTTCAAACCCTTATTTTTGTTGCTTTTTTGAGGTAGGACCTCTGAAACTCAAGATCCTCTTGTTTCAGCCTCATGAGTGGTTAGATTTTATCTTCCATCACCACACTAGGCTGCACTCCGTTTCTCATTTCTGTTCCCTGTAGCTTAAACTTGATGCTGGTTAGAGTACTCAGAACATGCGTTTTGTTGTTTTTCTCAGTGTCTGTTTGTCCTTTTATTATCAGGTCAACAAGGATTTTCTCCCAAAATTTCAAAACAACCAAATTCGTTTATAAACACGAAAAAGTTAAAAGCACAACTCCTGCAAATTCAGTCAGAGCTGAATACTTCAAAGCAAGAATATGAAGAATTCAAAGAACTAACTCGGTAAAATGGAAATTGACATGCATACTAACACCTCTTTTAAATTGTATTTGCTTTCATGATAATTTTAGTAATTTAATTGGGAATTTTACTTTTTGGTTCCAGTATTGGGGCTTGAACTCAGTGTTTACATGTGTTTAGTTTGTTCACTCAAAGATGGTGCTCTACCTCTTGAGCCCAAGCTCTACTTCTGGCTTTTTGGTGTCTAATTGGAGATTTGAGCCTCATAGACTTTTCCTAATTGGGTGGCTTCTAACCAAGATGCTCAGATTTTAGTCTTCTGAGTAGGCTGAATTAGCCACTGGTGCCCTGTTTATTTTTAAAATAGCATGTTGCCTATGCTATTATTGAGAGCTATTTGGGCTTTTGAATTTGTGCTTCACCATATATATTTCTTGAATACCTTGAACATACCTGAACCCTATTTTGCCCAGCTAGAAAAAAATAAAGGTTAATGATAGAAGCAGTATTTCTTATTTAAAAAGATAACTGTAAGTTGTGTGACCACATCACCTGTTAAGTATTTTACAAATATTTGATGTTACTTATTGCTTCCAATTCTTTCTTTCCAATATCTATTAGGAAGAGGCAGCTGGAATTGGAATCAGAGCTTCAGTCTTTGCAAAAGGCAAACCTGAATCTTGAAAATCTTTTGGAAGCAACAAAAGCTTGCAAGCGGCAAGAAGTTTCTCAACTGAATAAAATTCATGCTGAAACACTTAAGGTAGGTTATGTGAAGCAATGCTTTCATTTAAAACAAGTGTGTGCTCTCTCACTCTCTCTACATATATATGTTTTAGGGCAGACTTTAGTAGTTAATTGAAGATAAGAGTTTCATGGGCTCTCCAGCTGGCTTCAAACCTCCGTTCTCAGATCTCAGCCTCTTGAGTAGCTAGGATGATAGGTATGAGCCACTAATGCCCAGTTGTTTTATTCTTGAATGGTATAGAGAGATTGAACTTTAAAAATAATCTCGTGGGGCTTGAACTCTGGGCCTGGGCGCTGTCCCTCAGCTCTTCAGCTCAAGGCTCTACCAGTTAAGCCATAGTGCCACTTTTGGTTTTCTAGTGGTTAATTGGAGATAAGACTCACGAACTTAACTGCCTGGGCTGGCTTTGAACCACAGTCCTCAGATCTCAACCTCCTGAGTAGCTAGGATTACAGGCATGAACCACTGGCACCCGGCCATACTGGGCTTTGTATTGTTTTCTAGTGTTCTCTTTGATTACAAATGTGCTAACTACTGAATAAGTGAATATAATCTTTTTGTAACCTAATTTTATATTAGATACATAGCTCTTCTTGTTCCTTTATTCTTTGTTAGAATTTAGATATCAACTTACAAGTTGCATTTTGTTTGGTAAATTTTTCATGAGTTCATTTCTATGTTGCTTTTTAATGACACTTTTCTCAATGTGTTTATGTACAAAATATGCTATTTTCTATGTATGCTAATGTTCTTTTCCATAATGCTTATTTATAGATTATAACTACACCAACCAAGGCTTATCAACTGCATTCACAACCAGGACCAAAATTAACCCCTGAAGTGGGCAATTTGGCCTCTTTGCAAACTCATGACATATTAAATGAGCCAATTCCACCTGAGATGAGTGAACAAGCTTTTGAGGCCATTTCTGAAGAGCTTAGAACAGTACAGGTAATGTTTTAGTTTTAGAAAATATTTATTAAATACTCATTTAAATAACTACAATTCATCTTGATCTATGTCACCCCTTTTGTGTGTCTGAGCACGTGTGTGTGTGTGTGTGTGTGTGTCATTTAAATAACTACAATTCATCTTGATCTATGTCACCCCTTTTGTGTGTCTGAGCACGTGTGTGTGTGTGTGTGTGTGTGTGTGTGTGTGTGTGTGTGTGTGTCCTGGGGCTTGAATTAAGGGACTTTTAAGATTTT